TGCTGAGCTTCATGGCACAGAAAATTCCTGGGTCTGGCATTTCGGATTAATCTCAAGGAGAACCACAAACATATTCCATAAATTGACCAAGGTAGCTGGGCTTCTACACAGGCTCAGATGCATTTCTCTGTCAAAGACAGTGCCCTCATGTGGGGTCTAATCTGCTGAGAAACCTTCCCGATAGATGCCGGATTCCCAGCGTTCTGCCATGGCGTTCTTGTGGCGAGTCACCCTTGTGGCTTCTAGGATCTGCACAAAAGAAGGCATGGAGACCCCATCAGGGTCCTAATTCCCACTCCCCCAGACATCTCCCCCGATGGCCAATTCATAGGCCTGGAACAAGGGTAAAATAGGACCATCCCCTCCTCTGTTTCAGACCCTCTACTCCTAGTAATATGACCAAGGAACATGCTAACTCATGCTGAGCTTCATGGCACAGAAAATTCCTGGGTCTGGCATTTCGGATTAATCTCAAGGAGAGCCACAAACATATTCCATAAATCGACCAAGGTAGCTGGGCTTCTACACAGGCTCAGATGCATTTCTCTGTCAAAGACAGTGCCCTCATGTGGGGTCTAATCTGCTGAGAAACCTTCCCCCTCTGGTAATGGTGGCACGCGGACCCCCTTTCCATATTCTGTGCCCATAGCAGGCATCACAGGCAGATCACAGCAGAATCCACCTCAGGCAGACACCACCAATTGAGAAGATTCCCAGTACTGTCCTCACACCTATAAGAAAGGCTTTCAGTGGCCCTGATGCCATGGGGCAGGGGGCACAGATGGGGGAGGCCAAGAATTGAGTTGTCCCCAGGAGCGCACTCACCTCTGAGTTGATGCCATCCGTGGGGCTGATGCCGGCATACTACAGAAGAGGAACACATGTCAACACCAGGCATCTTCCTGCCCAACCCCAGAACCTGCCCAGAACTCCACGCACAGCCCACCTCGTCACCACCTGGGGCGGAAGGGAAGCTGCTTCCTGCCCACCGAGGTCTCCCCAAATATCCCACGATCACCCCAACCTCAAAGCCATCCATCATGCTGTTCCCTCACACTGTTCCCCTCAGTCCAGCCTCTGCTGAACATCTGCAGTTTTTCCATCTAATTCATCATAAGAAAGACAGCTGACATTTGTGGAGCCCGTCCTGCGGCCTTGCTCTGACACACACATGCTCATTTCACCCTCACACGGAGGCTCCGAGGGGATCTTGTTACTATTATCAGTTTATAGAGGAGGAGGCCCAGGGCCAGAGAGGGGCAGCGACTTGTCCAAGGTCACACAGCCAGCAAGTGACAGGGCTGAGACTAGAACCTGGGCCACTGGGCTCTCAGTTTATAGAGGAGGAGGCCCAGGGCCAGAGAGGGGCAGCGACTTGTCCAAGGTCACACAACCAGCAAGTGACAGGGCTGAGACTAGAACCTGGGCCACTGGGCTCCAGCCTGTGCCCCGAACCGCTGGGGAGGGCTGTGTGTGCCAGGTGGGCAAGGCTGGGTTTGTGTTATTGTTGTGGAGCCCCTGACACCCTGCCCAGGGGGGATTGTGGCCTCTTGGTTACCAACGTGTGGTTTGGAGTCATGAGCTGCCTGACCCTGGGCATGTGTGACCACTAAAGCCTTGAAGGTGTGATTTGTGCAAAAGTCCTGAGCACAGGGCACGGCACGTTATATGTGCAGTGTGGAAATAATAATAAATAATGACAATAACAAACACATTAATATAATGATGGTGACGATGATGATAAATCACCACGCTCCGTCTTCAAGCAGAGTTTGTTCTTTGGCCTTTGAACCCAGGGACGACCTCACAATAGGGACAAAGACCCCTGCTGATGTGGCTTTTCCAAGCACAAGTCCAGAAATGAAGAGACGCCCAGAGTATCATTCTATGTATATCACGAATGGGGGAGACTGAGGCACAGCCACCAGCGGGACGGTGAGGGAGACGTTACTCAAACCCAGGTCAGACGTGAATCTCGCTGACCCTGCTGTGGCCCTAACGGGGGGCTGTCACACCTGGCCCTGGACTCACCCACAGGTCCTTCCTCTTTCTCTGCCTGGGAGCCCTGTCCGCTGGCTCCTCCGCTGTCCACACCAGGCCCGAGTGCAGGTGGACGGGGGTGAACACAGGTGACTCGGACACCGAATAGCTGCCCATGATGCCTGTGGGGTGGGGGATGTGGGGGGGAGGAGAGAGAGGGGGCATCAGGGAAGTGGAACATCTGTCACACCTCAGCTCAGGAGACAGTGTCTGGTCAAGAGGCTCGAGCAGTTAAGGGACAGGTGAATGGACAGACAGACCAAGCAGACAACCAGGGCGGAAAACTGATAGACTGACCCAAAGTAGCCAGTCAAGAGAAACTACTGATAGATGGACCAGACACGCAAGGTGAAAAACACTAAAAGCAACCTGGGGAATGTTTCATTCTAACAAACAGGAGCAATCAACCAAGAGGATAAGCAACTGTGAACCTTTATGCGCCTAATAACAGAGGATCCAAATCCAGAAAGCAAAAATCTGAAGGCAAACTTGACATTTCCCTACAAAATCAGCAGCTTACACAGACAGTCAGGGGGACAGCTGAGTGGGGGAAATGGACAGTCCGGAGATGTCCCCCCACCTCCAGCCCTTCCTGACATCCTCGAACTCCACCCCCCCCGCAACCTCTGAGACTTGAAGCAAAACAGCCCATGCCTGGGCCCCCTCCTCACCGGATGCCTGGGAGGAGTGCCTGGAGTTGTGGTCAGGGCCATTCTCGGGTGGTGGGGAGGTGACCTTGGGATAGAGAGCGTTCCTCCGCTCCTCTGCCACTTCTCGCTCCCGGCGTAGGACGCTCTCCACTTCCCTTTCCAGCAGATCCGATGACAGGGACCTTTGCGGCCTCACCACTGGGGCCCCGGCCACGTCCCAGCCCTGAACGTGGGAGGCCTCAGCCTGCTGGGGCACATCAGGGACCCCAAACTTCAGGGGACGCAGGCGGAAGTTTTCCCATTGCACGATACCCTCGTTGGCTTGCAGGGGTTCCCCAGGGGGCTTCAAGTACTCTTGCTTTGTGCTCAAGGGTTTTCCAGAGGATTCTAAGAGATGCCTCGGAGACCCTATGGCCTTTGGAGAAGCCATAACCTTGGCCTCCTCTGTGGAGAGACCATTCGACTTGCTGTACGCTCCGAAGGCTGGGAATTCTAGCCTGGGGGTCCCGGGGTTCAGGTACGGCTGGTAGGCTTCAGGCGGGATGCGGTTCACCTTCCTCACCTCTGGAGCTGGGCTGGCTGCACGGGCGTCCGGGGCCGGGCTGAGGATGGAGTCTGAGCTGAGGGCTCTCCTGAGTCCAGGCGGGGGGTCCTTGGAGACGCAGTCAGGTGTGGCTGCCCAGCTCACCTGGACGCCCTTCCGCCGGTGGTCTTCCTCACGCTGTGTCTCCTGTACAATGTCCCTCTGCACGTAGAGTGACGGGCGGCCCCTGTCCCCTCGCGGGGCTGTGGCCAGGCTCACCTTGGTCAGCAGCGGCCTGGTGGGGATCTCCACCAGCTCCTGGTGGCCGGACGCCTGCCGAAGCCCCCTCTGTTTCCGCAGATCCGCCTCACGCTCCTGGGCCAGTCGGATCTCCCGCTCAATGGGTGTCTCCATGGGGGACTCCAGTGACTCCACTTGGGACCAGGAGCCAGAGTAGTCCACGGCTCGGACACTAGGCCCAGTGGGCAAACCACGGACCATCTTCTCTTCCCAGACCACCTCCTTCACCTGGGGCTTGTGGGAGACAACATACCCATTGGTTAGTTGGGGCCAATTCAAGGCCTCGGGGGCCTGGCTGACCCCTGGCGGGGCACAGGCGGGGGCCACCCTGGCCAGGGGGCTCTGCGGCGCCCCTGTGTTGGCCTGCTCCAGGCTCAGGAACTGCTGCCTGGCTGCCAGAAAGTCTATCTGCTCCCTGTCCACCATGTTATCCTCCAGGGGTGTGGACCGAGGGGTCCTAGGGTCCTGGCTGCGGGTCTTAGGGTCCCCGTGCTCAGGGGTGCCCCGGAGTGTGGCCACCGTGCCGCTCTTCCTCACTGTCTGGCCCTGGATGACTGCACAGTGCTCCCGCTCCAGGTCCCTAGGCCTCCTGGGGAGGGCAACCCCGGCGTCCAGGCGGTAGGCCTTCATCTCCTCACTGTCATCGTCGTCAGGGTGGAGTGGCCGTGGGGACAGCTCACTGGAGAAGGCCCATGGCCCTGTCCTCACCACGTTCAGCCGGTCCTCGCGGTCAGTGGGCCATGCCTGCGGCTCGTCCTGGCCCCAGCCCTCGGGCCCCACGCCCACCAGCTGGAAGGTGTAGCTGGTATCCCCATCGAGTGCCAGGCCGGAGATGCGGGGCGAGCGGGGGATGCTGAAGATGGGGTATCTGGTCACTCGGTCCATCTCCTGGGGATCTCGGCTGCAACCTGCCTCTCGTGGGGTGGAGACCTCTCGGCTCACTGAGGGAGGAGGAGGAAACAGCCCTGGGTCAGAGCACGGGGAGAGGGACAATCTCCTGTCCCCCAAAGGGCAAAGTCCTGGCCAAGTGGCCTCTGTGATTGGTTCAAGAATGGGTGAGTGACCCAGCATGGCCAATCAGAGACTTCCACTGTCTGACCTCTGTGATAAAGTGACCCAGCCTGGCCAATCAGAGGAGAACACCCCTGGCCTCTGTGACTGGTGCAGGGACAGGTAAGTGACCCAGCCCGGCCAATGACATGGAGTCTCGGGACTTTGCAATTAGTGCTGAAAATCGGACCCTCTTCCCACTGGGCTTGTTAGGCTGGTGGGTTGAGGCAGAGAATTGCTGGGGGCTGTGTGTGGCCCCTTATGAGTACAGCTTGCTGGAAAGCAACCCCAACACTGGCAGTCACCTGAAAAACGTTTGAGCTCCTGGATCCAACCATACCTGAATCCCTGGATGTCCCCGTGACGCATTAGCTGTGCCTAACAGGTGCGGCCCAATGAATTCAAGGCACCTTGTCCATGCTAACCCCCACACACCCCACACCCTGCCACGCTGACCCCTGCGGTCCCCGCTCCTTCCACGTTCTCTCCTCTACCATCCGGCCCACTGCGTCCAGGTCCGCCTCGATTTTCGTGGCCTCCCTGGGCCCCCACCACCCTTATCTGCCCCTCCCAGGACACAGACCCCTTCTGCCCTCCTTCTGACACTCCTGTGATTCTTTCACACCTCATTTACAGATGGCCCCAGCAGGCCTGCCCCTGGCTGAGGGATGTCAAATGGGGAAACTGAGGCCCAGAGAGGCAGCGACTGGCAGCGACTCCAGTTTCCCGGCTCCCACATCCTGGTTCTCTCCCTGCACCTGCCCACTGGGACACCTTGTCCCATCCCAGACACACACCCACTGCCTCAGCGCCATAAAGGCAGGATGGGCTGGGGAAACACCTTGGACCTTGTCCCACTGAGCACGGCCCTGGGACGTTTCCTGCAGGTCACACACCCGCTCTGACTTTCCTGTGGCTCCTGGTGTCTCTGGGGTGTAGTTCTCCTCACGCCCGTCCCAGGTACTCAAGGCCACCATCTGGCCTCAGCACAAAACCCCAGACTCTGCAGGAACCTTCGCCTCAAACCCTCACACACCCGCTCTGACTTTCCTGTGGCTCCTGGTGTCTCTGGGGTGTAGTTCTCCTCACGTCCGTCCCAGGTACTCAAGGCCACCATCTGGCCTCAGCACAAAACCCCAGACTCTGCAGGAACCTTCGCCTCAAACCTGACCCTCCTGCACCATCAGCTCTCTCTGCCTCGAGGACCCCGCTTCTGCTCTGGTGCGGCTTCCTTGGCTGCAGCCCACGGGACACCTCCTCCAGGGAGCCCCCCTGGACTGTCCCTCCCTGGGAGCTTCTGAGCATCTCCCATGTGCCGGGCCCTGCACTGAGCACCGAGAATCGGGCATCAGCCCTTTGCAGACGAGAAAAGGAAGGCTCAGCCGAGGACACGTGGACTTCACAGCTCGAGCTGTTCCCAACTCCTCAAACAGCCTTGTCGCTCCCGGTCCCACCAGAGCTATTGCGTACATCTGCCGCCTTTGCACCAACTTACTTTAAAAATCTACATGTAGTTCTAAAAAGGAAAACGTGGCCCCTGCCTGAACTGGACATTAGGCAACGTAGAGTGGATCGGGGAGCGACGTCGCAACTGACACTTTTGTTCGCATCACACATTTAAAACTTTAACTTTTAAACACTATTTAAAAACAAGCGGGCTCGGGTGATAAATCCCAGCCCAACCAAGCTGATCCTTTATCCCGAAAGACGATGAACCTGCAGCCCCCCGCCCTGAGACGTCCCCCTGTGGTCACCTCCTTGAAAGGGGGATAAACTTGCTGAGACCCTGCAGCCACCAGCCCGGGACCCTCTCTCCGGCATCCGCTCCTGCGGCCCAGAGTCTGGCATACAGCAGGTGCTTCATAAAGACTGGCTGAACAAACATCACTCACCCCAGGTGCTCAGACGTGGGGGTCGGTTTCATTTCAGACCCACGGACCTGGTGCGCCCCCCTCCAGCCCCAATCCTGCCCTCTTGCCCGGGGCTGACCCCACAGGGCTGGGCAGGTCTATGTCCCGCACTGTCCCCACACCTGGGGCTCCCCGGGAGGGCAGTGGTGACGCAGGAGTGTCGGCTGAGTGAGCAGATGGATGTTTCCCCAGTGGGATTTATAACCCGCATCGGACATTAACTCCGGGGAAACGGGCCCCGCCCTCCCGTCCTCCGGCAGGTGTCCGGTCTCCCGACGGGTGGGGCGAAGGTGGGGGACGCTGCTTCCACCTCCGCACATTCCTCCCGGGTGACTCACGGAGGGTAGGGCTCGTCACGGTCTTGGGTTCAAGGCCGCTGGGCCCTATGTGCTTGTGGCCTGGGCAAGTTGCCGCTGTCCACTGCCTCAGTTTCCCCACCTGGACAGTCAGTAGCAGCACGCGGCTACCGCTGTGCAGAATTGGCACCCTGTGCCTGTACACAGTAGGCGCTCCACACATGTTTCCATGGTGGTTGTCATGGTTGCTGATGTCAGGGGGACCCTGGGGCAGGTGTCCCTTCTCATGAAGCCACAGGGCACGATGCTGCCCCTCGTGGGGCTTGGGGAGGGGCCGGGCAGCCTGGGCGCGATGCCTGGTGTGGAGAAGCCCCAGGAGAAGCACCCTCTGCGAGGCCGGGATGACAACAGCCATCTCAGCACCTCGTGCCCCCCTGTTGTCCCTCCCGCACCAAGTGCCTCACCAATGTTTTGTCTGCTCCTCACAAGAGCCTGTGACAGGGGGACATTTTTATCTCTGAAGCCCAGAGAAGGGAAGATGCTCACCTGAGCTCACACAGAGATGACAGAGTGACAGATTCTGAAGCCTGAGCCCTCACTCCCAATCGATCGCCGCCACCTACAGGAAGCCCCCTGGGCTGCCCCAGCCCCACCCTGAAACTTGTCTGGACTGAAACTGGGTTTATGGTCCCTCGTGTCACACACCTGCCTCCTCATCATGACAACTGGCTTCCCGCCCATGGGGCAAAGTCCCCCTGGTGGGACCCACGTCAGGTCACGCAGCAGGGAGGGTTTCCTGGGGTTCCCCTGTCCCACCCCCTGGGGCTACAGTCACCCTGAGCTCCTGGCTGGACAGAGCCCCTAAGGCCTGGAGTTGCCTGGACCCTGGGCTGAGTCCACGCAGTCTGAGACCCCAACCACCCCCGAGCGTGGACAGAGCCTCTATCCTAACACTCAGCCCAGGCTGAGACCCCCCATCCCAGGACCGAGGCTGAGCCCCCAGCTCTCCAGGCTGAAGCTGCCCACCCCTCCTCCAGTGCCCCTGAACAGGACCCCAGACCCTGAGGGGTCTTGTTTGCTGCCTGGAGTCTCCCAAGCAAGGGTCTGGCTGGTGCTGAGTCTCCCCAGGAGCCTCCGGAACTCCCAGAACCTGGGGGGGGGTCCTCTCTGCCCATATCAGGCCCCTCCCTTGGAGCATCAGCGG